AAAGTCTTGATGGTTTGGAGGTTCGGTGGTGTAGGAGTCGCGATCACCTTCTTCCGGGTTTGAAGAGTGATGAACAGATGAAAAGATGTTATTCTGACTCTGTGGTGGTCGGGAGAGTTTTCTCCCAGATGAAGATGATGAAGAACTAAGAGAGACATCGGCTGAGATCCAAAGATCGTTGGTGAATGTAAAGACAAGGCTGAAGCCTGGCGCAGACTTAAGGGTTGCAGAAGGGTGCTAGCTCACATACTCATCTTCTCAGAATCTAACAGAACCACAGATTGCCGTTCCCAGACATGCTGGCACCCAGTATGTTTATTGGGTGAGGGGGTCTGTGATTATTTGTTAATCTAATGAATAACTGAATTGTTAAATCTAATGAACAAATGTGTGTCTGATTGGTCCAAATGCTTCATAGTCATGTGAAAAATATAACATTGGGTTTGCCCCCTGCTGGACATTTGACATGCTGCATTTACTTAAGCTGTACAATGGACATTAATCAATCCCAAAACAATTAAATTGCTGTATAAATCACAGATTCGTGGAGTTGGGCTAAAAATAATCGCTGAACAATTTTGGGAAAACAACGATGAGGGAGACGAAGTGAGTGTCCTAGTGGTTGCGAGCATACCAGGAGCCAATGGCAAGGCCGTGATCCCTTTACTTAGCCCTTTAGAAATTGAAGCGCTACAAGGTAATACGTTTACTTCATAGATCGTATATTTGGTGCTATTAAATCGCTTATTTGTTCCACACTACGATTTTACTGCACTAAACATTTTACTTTTTTAAATGATATACCTAATTGTTGTTGTGGTGTGTTGTGTGCTTCATTACAGCAGAGACACCTCGTGAATTCCGTCAGTCCGACGACGGTCAGTAAGTAAAGCTTTTTTAGTCTTGTTAACGATTCTTTGGATAAACAACTGTTGTGTGGTTTTAACAGAGGTAAATTAGGCAACAATTGAAAATGCTCTTTTCAATGTTTTCGTTACATACCATTTATATTGTACCTCACTAATGTTAATGATTAACTAATGCAGACAAACTAGCTAATGTTTCTATTGTTCATATTGCTAACTCGAACATTTATTTTTACTCTTTAAAGTCTCAACATTACAATTGGTGAATCCACCAAATTAGCCAAAATGTTATTATAGTAAATATAGTATCCATGTTTTTTGTCAGTTAGTTATTTATTTATTTATAAAGCACATATAAAAACAACCAAAAGGTTGACCAAAGTGCTGTACATTAGAAACAATACATAAAAAAGAGAATTTCAAACAGCAAAATAAAATGCACAGTAAAATTCATTTGTTGTTAACCGCCATAGATAAAAAATAAGATTTAAGCTTTGATTTAAACATAGAAAGAGATGATACCGTTCAAATTGACACTGGTAAGCTGTTCCATAGTTTGGGGCCAACCCTTGCAAAGGCTCTGTCCCCTCTATGTTTTAGCTTAGTCCTACACACAAAGAGTAATCCAAGATCCCCAGACCTAAGTGACCTAGTTGGGTTATGAGGGAGTACCAAAGCAGAAAGGTAGCCTGGAGCTAAGCCATGTAAAGATTTGTAAACGAAGACTAAAATTTTAAACTGTATTCTAAATTTAACCAGTAGCCAGCACAGAGACATCAAGATGGGAGTAATGCAATAAAATTTTTTGCTACCGGTCAATAGCCTAGCAGCAGCGTTCTGAACAAATTGTAAACGCCAAATAGATGAACTATTAGCTCCATAATAAAGTGAATTACAATAGTCAAGACGTGTGGTAATGAATGCGTGGATAACTGTTTCGAAATTCTTGAGGGAGAGAAAAGTTTTAATTTTTGCAAGGCGGCGTAAATGAAAAAAGCATGATTTGACGACAGAATGAAGCTGTTTATCAAACCGAAGTCCCGAGTCAATTAAAATGCCAAGGTTTTTCGTGCACGGAGTAACATGAGATCTTAAAGCCTAGATCCAGATCACCACCATCATAAAAGTCACTTGGTCCAAACAATACAACTTCAGTTTTTTTCTCGTTTAAGGCCAAAAGATTTTACGAAAGCCATGATTTCAGATCCCGTAGGCATGCTAGCAAAACCTCAATAGAACATGAATCGTTACGTTTAAGTGGGAGATACAACTGGGTGTCATCAGCATATAAATGAAACGGTACTCCATGTTTAGAAAACAGGGATCCCAGTGGTAGCATGTATAAAGAGAAAAGTGTAGGAGCAAGGATTGATCCCTGTGGAACACCACAGGAGAGGTGTACTACTGAAGAAGTATGTTTTCGAATACATACAGAAAACTTCCTATTGGTTTAATGTGACCGAAACCATTTTAGAACGATACCCTGAATGCCTACATAACTTTCCAATCGAGAAATTAAAATTTTATGATCAACCATATCAAATGCTGAACTGAGATCTAATAGGACCAAAGCAACAGCATTCCCATTATCAGTAGACAGCATAATATCGTTTGTAACTTTCAATAACGCAGATTCAGTACTATGTAATTTTCTATAACCTGACTGAAAAGTTTCATTTACTAAATTTTAACTCAGAAAAGACTGTAGTTGAGTGAGTACAACCTTTTCTAAAATGTTTGAAATAAACGGGAGATTGGAAATCGGTCTAAAATTACTTGGAACGGAAACATCAAGATTGGGTTTCTTCAGAAATGAAGATTCTCTCCGGCCAATCCGTGATCAGCAGAGTTTACACGTCACGTTTTGGTAACGGTACGGTTCACTTGGAACCCCAACCGAGGTGGTACTAAAAAAAGTACCAGGTACCAGGTACTGTACCCAGTGGAAAATCCCCCAAAAGTGAACCGTACCATGCAGTGGAAAAGCGCCAAAACACACTCTAGGTGACTGAGCGACTGGTTATTTCAGACCAGGCATGTGACGTCTGCAGAGATTGAGGTCTTGACAATTTTGTCTTATCAACAAAGAAAGACAGAAAATTTTCACATAGAGAATCAGACACATCAGAGAAAACATTTACAGCAGGGTTTAAAACAGAATCTATAGTTGAAAAGATGATACTGGGACTCTTTTTTGCGACAATCTCGGTAAGGAATTTAGATTTAGCTGACTTAACAGCCCTCTGAAAAACAGAAAGAGACTCCTTTAGCATTTCGTATGACACCTGCAGTCTGTCCTTACGAAATTATTACCATTTGTGTTTTATTTGTAGTGTTAGGCTACTAGAAATATCGTTATTGGTTACCCTGCCTTTAAATAAAACCAAAAAGCTTATGGTTACTGTAGATAACCCATGTTTTTTTTTTTAATAAACGGCTAAAACCCAGCCTGGTTTTAGAGAGGTTTTAACTTTTTTAAATGTTCAAAAACTGGTCATAAATGTCATGAACATAAACTATCTGTAAAGTTGTGAAGCCGACAGTGGAGGGCTCAAGGAAAGGAGGGGTTTAGAGAGACTGATTCTTTGAACTGCTTCGCACAAGTCGTTTACGAATCATTTAGAAATTAGGTGAAATTAAATCTTTTTTTTTTTAGAAAACTTTTTTGACCTTGCATGCATGTAAACCTGTTTTAGGAGACTAATAAATAGCAACCTTCAACCTTAAAAATGGCATAATAGGGGCACTTTAAAAAACATGTTGATATTGTTTGTATCAAAATTAAATCTTTGACATGTTCAAAATTAAATAGAAATAATTTAATAAATTGTTTGTATCAAAATTAAACTTTCTTTCTCCTTTGACATGTTCAAAATTAAATAGAAATAATTTAATAACTACCATTTCTGTCCTTTAGTGTGATGTAATGTCCTATGGTGTGACACACATAACAGAACCACAGATTTGTTTTTCATCTCAAAATATCTTAAAAAAAACAGTTAAGCATTGAAATAGTGGACATTCAAATATCACTCAACTTAAAAGGGTATAATTTTCAGCAGTTTTGAATGGTCTTCTTATCAAAGTTTATCTTGAAATTGTCCAACAAGTCCAACAACAACCAAAAATGATGTTAATTATAATTTCATATTAAATAGCACTATATGAAAATAAGTGTCTAACAAAGAAGATAAATCTCTCTCATGCTATTTATATATTATTAAGAGTTTTTTTT